ATGTGCATGCAGCACCTCCTCCCTTCCCATGCACCTTAAGCCTTCGTCCTGATAGTAAATTGCAACAGCTCCTTGGAATGAGAAAGGATCTAGAGATAGGTATCTAACCCTGGGGACTGATGTACTGCACATACATATATACATATATACAGTATATCAAGTCTACGCCCTTATTGGAAGATAAAGCCAGGGTTACTCATGGCTATTGAATGTTAAGCTTCTGGGAGAGGAGAGATGTGATGACACTTTGTTGCTTGTAAGTCTATGCCAGCTTCCTGCCACCTCTACTTGCATCTTGCATGGATTTTGGTTGTCTATGTGATTGATCTTTGACTGCAACCCTTTTGCTATATGCATGGCTAATATATATACTGGCTAAATTGAACATTATGCTGGAATCTTAGACATTGTAGACATTAGTAGAACTTTTATTGGGCATACTCACTGTTTGATGAACCTTCCTTGGCCATTATCAGGCTTAATGCAACCTTGCTCTGACTTGTTTCCTCACTTTATTTCAGCATTATTTAATTATTAAGATACATGTGTAAAAATGTATAGCATTAGTAGAGGTGGGCTTTAGTAGTCCCTAGTATCGGAATGTGGGTGCGTGTGAATGTGAACAACTTTGTTCCATTTTTATTGAGGTGGGATATAAGTTTTGTGCTATATACTAATGAACTTTTATTTATATAATATTTAATACATGTGTAACTTATCCTAATTTTGTGGGTCACAGTCTTGTTGTGGTGCTCGGATCCATATTTTCTATCTCTATATATAATTGCATACAGTGGCTACAGACCTTCTACTGCTGCCTTGCTTGGGCTATCCATAAGGAAAACAGCAAGTGATGTCTGATTCAAATCTAGGAACCTCACAGATGATAAATATATTTCACAACATAATAACATACTCATACATACCATACATACCGCACAAATTAATTTTTTTGGCTACAAGCTTTAATTGGTTCCTATTTGTGAATTTCTCTTTGGAGAAGACTTTTGTCCACACGACATATTTATTCTATAGCTGTGTTATAAAATGCTACCATTGTCAGGTGTTTGCATCCAATGACTTTTTCTGCCTACCATAGAAATATTATTATCATTTTCATAAAACATTGGTTATACAGTAGATTTACTGTATATTTAGCAAAGACAACATGATTTATGTTTTAATACCGTTTTACATATGTTTTCAGCCCTACTGGTTGTTTGACTGAACAAATAAACACACTTGGATTTATTTTGATTTCAGATTTATGTATATTTACTTGCAATCAGCATACTACAGCAAAAACAAAGATAATTTATGATGGTATATAAAACACTTATGGATTTTGTTTAGCATTTCATTAGTATGTTTGATTGCATTTTTCTGCTTTTCACTATACAGCAATACGAAATAGTTTTCTTCATAAATATAACTTTATGTTCAAGTAGAGAAATGTAAGAGTTTAATATGTAGAAAGAAACCAGATATTTCCCTGATCAAGTCATGCAGCATTGGCTCTGCAAATCTGTAAAGGGTTGGGTTACCTACAGTGTCCCTCACATACTGAAAAGGTGAAGTGATTAATGCCTAAACATGATGGTGCATGTAAACCTAGTGCACAAAGACAATTTTCCACAACAGAGTTTCTTTGCTGCTGAAGTGGTTCTAAAATTAATAAGGCGATTTGTAATAAAATTGCACATGGATCCTTGTGTTTTTTGTATTCATCTATGCTAACCTGTGCAAGAACATATTCACCAACATGGAAGCAGGTAATGCAGGAAAAGCACTTTGCTCTGCAAACAGTTGCCTTTAACATGACATAAGTTTGATCCTTTGGCTAAGGTCACTTCAGAGCATTCCCTGCATTGAGTTTTGTGGGTCAGAATATCAACAGCAGATTGTCAGCATTAAGTCAACTGGTAAAGGAATCCAAAAGACCCCCCCACCAGTCCTCTTCAATATCTAAACAATGCAAACCCCCTGACATAGAAATCCCATAAGTGGAGCTATCCAATGAACAAGTATATCAATAGTATAAAGTGTATCAAAAATATTTTAATTAAACATGGAACAATGTAAAAATCAATCACCGTGTACATAACATTTAAAAATCTTAAAAGCAAGACACAGCTTCCCTAGAAAGACCCAAATGTAGGACCAGGTGGTCAGGGTTAACGCAGGATGAAAGGCAGTCACTGATGTGGGTAAATACACCGTATGGAGCAGAGGATACAAAATGTATCAATGTATAACTGGATTACTCACTTATTCATCTGTGGCCACAGGTAAAAGAATCCATCCGTACTTCCGCAATTGTTGTCTCAATGGTAACTCAATGGAGAGTATCCATATGATAATGTGTAATCCTGGAGGTTATTTAAAAGGTTTTAAAAGTCGCATAACTTTTTCTCAATGTAAATCCGGAACGACATCACCCAAAAGGCTGCATTTATTCCCTCACATAAGGGGGAGGACAGCCCGAGAATATTGCCCTGCAAGTGCAGCCACACGGTAGAGCAGGGGTAGACAGGGTTCCAAGGGCAAGTTGTCCAAAAGATCTCTGGATCGGGGGTCCGGCTGTTGCTGAGAAAGTATGCGCAATTTAGCTCCACTCAGTATAGACTTGAAGCCGATGATCCGTGCTGCTGTAACGCTGTGTGAGCGGGCCTCGCTCAATACAATCAGTATAGCAGAGGCTCGTTAACCCGATCAGTGTGATGGCAATGAAGCAATGAGTCCTGGGTCTTGTGGGAGGCTGATTACACGCTATCCCTAACGCGTTTCCCCCCAGCAAGTGGGGCTTCCTCAGAGGGGCGTGTGTCACGCGTTTCCCCCCAGCAAGTGGGGTTTCCTCAGAGGGGCGTGTGCCTTTCATCCTGCGGCCACGTTAACCCTGACCACCTGGTCCTACATTTGGGTCTTTCTAGGGAAGCTGTGTCTTGCTTTTAAGATTTTTAAATGTTATGTACAAGGTGATTGATTTTTACATTGTTCCATGTTTAATTAAAATAATTTTGATACACTTTATACTATTGATATACTTGTTCATTGAATAGCTCCACTTATGGGATTTCTATGTCAGGGGGTTTGCATTGTTTAAATATCATTTTTTGAAACCCAGGAGTGTAATCCACATTATCTATTATATTTTGCGATACTCCTCCCTCTTTCCTGTATATTATCCTCTTCAATATCCCAGATTCTTGCCATCCTGACCAGTGGTGTGAATGAGTGCAGGTCACCTACTCATCCTCACTAAGCTCCTATCAATAGGTGAATAGAATAGTAGGTATCTACGTGTATCCATTATTGATGGCATTTAAGCTTATTTATGCACTCTTCCATGGAGAAGAAGAATCCCACGTTTAACAGTTGTCAGTGGAAGAGGTGTTTCCATTAGGAGAATTGACCTCTAGACCTGCTTCAGTATAAACTGTAAAGGTTTAGATTCCACTTCATTTTCTTGCCTAGTGACAGTGTCCAGGACATTATGAAGTGAGATTGACACAGACAGCAAAAAAACCTGAACGGTTATAACCAAAGAAAGAAAGTTTTGTCTAGATTGGCACTTCATACACTTTATAGAACTTCCCTTTTACTCTCTCTGACAAAAATAAACTTAGAGCAGAAATTCACCCAAAAAGAACAAGATAGAAATGAATAGGCTATGAAAATATAAAATAAAAATGCAGCTTTTGTTGCAATATTTACTTTCAATCCAGAGCTCTCCCTGCAATACTTTTCTGCCAGAAAATGCCCTGCCTGATTGCCAGCAACATTTAACCCAATTTCTCTGAGCTCAGACTGTCCTGGGCCCTTCCCTGTCTGTGACTGAAAACGTTTATTTATTTATGTGCAACCTTTATTCCAAAAGGAAAACAAACTGTTGTAGTAACTGCTTTAAAAGCATTTGATGGAGTTTGGCTTTAGATGCCAGAGCATCTAACACTATCCTCTCCACAGGCTGACATTGCTGCTGTCCAAGGGTAGAGTGGAGCCATCCTAAGACAGAAGTGTGTTACTGGCAGGATCACCAGGTGAAAATAAATGAAAAAAGCCTTGAAAAAGAAAACGAATGCAGCTACCACATTTAGAGATTGGTAATGTAAGCTGCAATATGTTATTTTTTCAGGTTTATATACACTTGAAGTGTACCAGTAATAAATAGGGCACTGTATCTTAGTCAGGTACATATTAAAAGGTCTGACTTTCTGAGTCTGTATTCTTATTTTTTACCTAAAAACAATAACATTATACAGTAAAAGACAAGTTATAAAAAATGAAAGCTAGACATAACAAAAGATAGTTTGCATCAATGCTGGAGCCATTCTGTAGCCTTGCAGCTTCCTGTAGCCCTGAAACACTGAATGTTTATTGCTTCACAAATTAACCTCTCTAGAAAAAGAATTAATGGCAGTGCATCATACATTTTCTTCTAAATGGCAGACAACATCCTACTGCAGGGAAGATATTGGCTTCTGTCAGTAAAATCATTTTAACACACAGTGAATTTTAATGGTATTGATGATTAATCAGAGTTATTACACATTAATGCATGACAAGACTGATTACCAGCATATACCTTTGTGACCCAGTCTATGGTCCATTAGTGCTTTATTAACAGGGAGGATTTATGTCTGAGCAATTAAGGGCAGTATGATTATCCCCTAATACTTTTATATGCGAGATTGAAGGTTAGGAATAAAATACTAATGATTGACTGAAAATATTTAGCTATTTTATTTCAAGTTTTAATGCAAGTAATTAGGTATATCACATATCAGTCACAGTATTTTCCATTTTCAAATGAGAGAACTTAGTTTATTTATTTACTTTACTAATTGATATAGATCTGACACATTCTTTTTTGTTGCCGTCCGTCCGTTTTTTTACTACGGGCGGACGGCAAGAGGTTAACAGATAACATTGAACCATTCACATTGCTTCCTGATGACACCCCCACCCCACCCCCAGAATCCTACAGCTTAGTGTCCCTACTAGCGTCATACAAATTCACATACAAGGTTTGACCAATCTGGGTTGAAGCCATTTAACATGTCAGTAGGTTTTGGAATTGTTGGAGAAAAATGGCACACCCGGAGGAACCCATGCAAACATGTACATATTTCATGCCGATAGTGTCTTTGGTGGAAATTGAGCCAATGTTGGCCTGTGCTATTTACTATGTAATTCCACCATTCCCTGAGTTTAAAGGAACACAAGTTGATTATGCCATATTGGTAAGTTCATGCTTTTCATACTGATCAGTATCAACAGGATGCATGCTATCTTGTCCATTGTGATGATGAGCTTCTATGCAGAGAATATATATGTAAGCTCCAAGTGCTCCACCAGCCATTGGGCCAACTACAGGAATCCACCAAAAGTTATTGCCAGCTCTGCATGAAACGGAAAAATAATTTAGCATGGTCACTATTAAGTAAGAGCACCAGTCTATATCAGTGTAGGTCTATGTAAAGATAAGATGGCAAGACTATGAAGACTAAAAAAACTATTGTGCAAGACTGATACTGTTGTCTATACTGTATTTGCATATCAATACCTACAACAGCTATGACTATTACAAATAAATAAGAACATATTTTTTCTTTTTAGATGGGATGTTTCACCCATATGAAATTAGTAATGCTTAATAACAGGTTACAATTAAAAAGTGCCCTCTCTATATTTTGCTTCTGAAATCTTTAGCTTAGTACTCAATGCAAATCTACCCAATTGTAACTAGATTTTAAGCAAAAAGTATACAACATTCATTTGCAACAATTATGTTATAAATCATATCCTAGTTAAGCATACACATATCTATAGGAAATATGGTTCCGTTCTCTGAGATTACTTACGTGAAAACATCATAACCCCATCCAGCCACTGCTGTGAAGATTCGTGGACCTAAGTCTCTAGCTGGGTTCATAGCACCGCCACAATTCATTCCCAGAGCTAATCCTAGAAGCATAATCAGAAGGCCAATTGCAATCGGCTCCAATCCCTTAGGGGCTGCAATGTTTTTCTTGTCAAATATGGCAAATACCAAAATGAGCAGAAGTGCAGTAGACAGTATCTGTAAAAAAATAAAATATACAAAATATGTCAGTACTGGTAAGTATGTTTTCCAATTCTAGTTAATAAAAAATAGTTTTAGGTGTCCAAAGTCCCAGAGCAAGCTTCACCAATCAACTAGACTGAACCCAGTTTAGGGCTGTCATGCAAAAAGCACCTACAAATCAAGTATTTTGAATGCCTCATTGCAGTGTCTTTCCTATCCATAAACAATGTTTTATTCATTGTGTTCATGTGACTTTTAAACTTGCTATAACTACTTCTGGAAGAGTCAGTTCTCTAACACATCCTCCATTCTTACACATCATAGCCCTCTCATCTTCTGGGAGTGTCTGATTACTGAGGGGGGGGGGGCTGATCCAGCGTCTCCATCCCTTCCCCCACCTCCCAACATAACCTTTTATGTGAGTTTTGGGGGAGGAGCAAAGGGAAATATTATAGACTGTCACCCGAGTGACAACCCTGGGTGTGCTGGGGCAGCTGACATCACATCCAAGATGGTGACCTAATAACCATGCATGAAATATGTCAAATGCACTTAGAATTGTATGGGAAGATTTTTGTTGAAATTAATTATCTGGTGACTGGGTCTCCTATACTAAGTTATTTTTCCACATATGCTGCTATTTAAACATTGTTTCAGTCAAGATTATGTGGAATTTGAAAGTACAATTTTGAAGAAGAAAGTGATAGCCATCACTTCTGATCCTCTAGGTCTCTCTGCAGAGTGAGGGACCACAGTGTGATAAGGATGCTTAACTCCTTTAAGGGTATATATAGCTTGGAAGTCAATTGAGGCTTTAAATGTTATAAGAAGTAATGCCACTTTTGTTGATTATGCCAGTGAGGGAAAATCTGAACAATGATAGTGGTAAGTGGTGAGCTATAGTGATGAATAGATGATAAATGTGCAGCCACACTTATAAGTAGGGATGAGCCGAACACCCCCCTGTTCGGTTCGTATTCGAACATTCGAATGGCCGAAATGTTCGAATACGATGCAAGTGTATATGTATTATGGAATGTACGCGGTCGAACAGACCACGAACATCCCATGACGTTCGTCGCTCGGCGAGCGCTCGAACTGCCAATGTTCGATTTGAACTCATGTTCGAATCGAACACTTGGCCCATCCTTACTTATAAGTACAACATATTGTAGGCATTCTGTGATTTTAAGATGGACTTTGACTAAATGTTACCATGGCAAGAGGCCAAAAATACATATTGAGAAACAACCATGAATGTTGAAGAGGATCTCACACCAGTTCTTTGTAGAAGGGAGATATGCAATCTACTTTCAACACTGAGTCTGCTTACAGAAAACTCCTTAAACTGTATTTCCACTTTTGCAGGCAGATTGGGATAATACCTATTTTATATTTACTACATGCTCCCATTCACATAGCATAACTTTTTTTTATATTGCTGCTTACAAAATACATGAACTATTCTGAAAAAAATCTTGTTCTCTGTACTGAGCTTTGGTCTGGAATGCAAGGGGGTAGGGCAGTGGCGTAACAATCGCCATAGCGACCGAGGCGGCGGCTATGGGGCCTGGGACACAGATGCAGAGCGGACCGCCTGGGTTGCTATGGCATCCTCTGCTGGTGGCTTTCACTGGCGGCTCTGAAGAAGAATGCCCTGCTGTTCAGATCACTGACTGTAATCTGTGCAGCAACGCGTTCGTCTCCAGAGCCGCTGAGTCAATGAGAGCCAGCAGCGGTGGTGGAGGAGGCCGGACCCGACAGTGGAGGAGGAGGTGGTGCCCGTGGTTGACAGCAGGGGAGAAGGCGGGCCCATCAGCGAGCATGGAGGAAGAGTAGGCGGACAGGTAAGGAGTGCGACCAGCCCACCTGAGGGTGACCCTGCAGAGCCCACCATAGAGAGTCTACACATAGAGAGTCTATGGTGGGCTCTGCAGGGTCACCCTCAGGTGGGCTGTGTGGGATCTCAAGTGGGCTCTGCAAGGGGTATAACTAGAAATCACGGGGCCCCATACAAAATTTTGCTATGAGGCCCTGTGATTTCTAGTTACACCCCTGGGGTAGGGAGATTAATGTTAACATAATTAACCCTGTCTTTACTGTGATGGCATATCTCAATATCAGTTGTAAACAAGATTTAAAAAATGTCTGTGGTAACAAAAGGTTAAAGCTCCAGATGCATAGTATGTTAATGAGAGGAAGCTTAGTTTATCCCTAGTCTTTGTATGGGGACAGACATAGCTTAGTGTCACTTGGAAAGTTAGAGAGAAACTTGCAAAGACCTGCTACACAGACACATCTAAAAGGTAAATGGGTGTGAATGAGAACACATAACAAACATATCTCAAATTTGACTGCAAGCAAGAAATTGGCATGCTTGACATTTTATAATGTCTATGGGTACCTTCATGCATACCACATAAACTATATTTAAAGGTCTTACTTGATCTCCAAGTCCATTTATTGTTGACAGATATGGAGCAGGATAGGTTGCAAAAATATGAGCTGTGGCATTTGGACCATCTACTGTAAGAACTCCACCAGAATATTTGATTATTGCTTCTGCAAAAATAAAACAACATAGCTATTAGTTTTCGTCATCGCCTATCAACTCTTAAGTGATCTGTAATTAGTAGTTCTTAAAAAAATTTTTTTTTAATAGGATGGAGTCCACCCCCTTCTCCCCAACATACACAGACACATGTACACATGCCCACACCACAGACATACACGCACATAAATACGCACCTATATATACAACTGCTTTATTGTGTATGCCTTTGCTGTACTTCCTAAACTAAACAGAACAGCATATAATGATAGACTCAGGGCCGCCATCAGGGGCGTACCACCAATAGTAATGTGAGGGGCCCAGAAGGCTGGGGGGGCCCGAGCTTCGACCGAGCAATTTTTACTATAGATTAATATGTGCAGGCAAGTTGGTACGTTAATGACGCGCTGCCCGGCTTCCTAATACAGGAAGTATCAGGGTAGGCATCGGAGCATTTGGGCGAGAACGAGTACTAGTATCTAGTAACTAGTATCGGTGCATCCCTAATTTTTTGTGTAATGTATTATTTAAGCGTTTCTCTAGCATTTCCAAACTCATTTCATTTATATCCCTGGAGTAATTTTTTATTTTATTTAACTTTTATTTTTTACATTTTTTTTACTTCATTGCTATCACATGGGGGGGGGGGCTCACAAGCCCCCTAGTGTCACCTTTCCCCTTCACTGGATTCAGCTGCTAAGGAAGCTAAATGTCAACACAGCAGGCAGTGGCTGGAAACAATAGCCAGCCTGCTATTGGATATTTTAAATTGTAATAGCAGGCTGGCTATTGCACCCGCCCACTGCCTGCTGTCAATCAGCAGAAGAGGGAACTGAAGGAGAACACCGCCAGAAGAGAAGGAGGAACGGGGGAGAAGAGAAGAGTACGAAGTGGCCAGAGAAGGAGGAACGCGGTGGCCAGAGAAGGAGGAACAAGGCAGGCAGAGAAGGAGGAACAGGGCAGCAGCGTAGGTACGAGGGGGAGCATCAGGTAATGCAGTGACAGTCTCTCCTCCCTGCTGGTGCCGTGTGCAGTGGTCTGTGTTCCCACTGCCTCTGCCGATACAGGTGGGGAGAGCAGCGGGGATTGAAAGGAACACAGACTGCTGCAGCCAGCACCAGTGGGTAGGAGAACGTTGACGAAAATTGGGTACCAGACGAAAATCGTTTTCATCCCATTAACTACTCTTTAATTTTGTTTTTATCACTGAAAAATGGCCAAAAAACAGGGGGAAAACATTTTGCAGACGAAATGAACACTGCTTGAGAGCCCACACTGCCCACCAGAGAGCCTGCATAGCCCCCCCCTGAAACCCTGAAAAGCCCTCCTGAGACCCTGGAGACATCAAGCCATGTACCTGGAGGAACACAGGGTATGTAGCTTCATAGTATTCTGCATTGCTGTATAAAGTATTGCTGAGATTTGTAGTCCTCTATAGCCGGTGGTATTCTGTATTGCTGAGATTTGTAGTCTCTCTACAACTTGGAGTCAGTGGCGGATCTACCAGGCTCACAGCTGCAACCGGGCTCCGGCGCTCCACCACTGACTCCAATCAGTAGAGAGAGTTCAAAACACAGCCCGTACATGAGGAAGAGGGCCCTGGTGACCGTCAACATTTTCCACCAAAAGGCCCACCAAAATCCTCAGCACTAGGCCTGTGGTGCTCTTAATCCGGCCCAGGGGCCCAGGCCTAAAGCTGTGTAAGGGGCCCCAAAATTTCTAATGGCTGCCCTGGATAGACTGTATATATAGATGATGGATGTTAACACTAGCATACATTATGCTTTAAAATCCCCAAGGACGGGTCTAGCACTGACACAAATCTGTCCAAATGTATATCCTGCTTTTGGAATGTTTTTTTGAATAATGTTCTCATACACTAAACAAACACCTTAAGGGCAAAAATAGGCAGGATACAGGACTAACTGAACTCAGGCACAGGGACACAGAGAAGAGCCAGCAAAGGAAGTCAAAGCCACAGCAGAGGAAGTTGCAGAAACCCAATAGGAGAATGCACTGCCAGTGATCACTGCAGTACTGGACAACTGTAAAAGAGACAAGTGCTATATTTGGCCTTGTCCGTCTTTCCATAGCTGGATAATACAGATCTCGTTCTCTGACTGGAGATAGTTTTACCCAATTAGATAAATGGGTGCCTGTACCTGCTGGGCCAAGGCCATTCTGTAGCCATTCTTGCTGTCTATGTACTGTTGGGGAAATTTCGTTCCACTTCCTGGCCTAAAGACTCAACAGGCAGTGAGTAGAAATCTCTGTAAAGTCAAGGAAAAGCTCCTCTAAGACAACTGGAACATGTATCCTCGTTGGAATATTTTCCCTCACCTTCAGTTCCAGTAAAAACAGTACCATTATGGATCTCATATCACTTTCTGTCCCAGTAAAAATGGTAGAGAGTAAATTTCCCCAGTATGCAGAGGTATGAATTGACTTCTAAGACCCAATGGGCTCTTGGGCAACTGCACAGTCTGCAAAAATAGTATGTACGTCCCTGCTTCTATGCTATCAAAATCCTTAGAAATGATTTGGCTATAATAATATTTTAATACATGTTTTTACACCAAGGTGGAGAACTTGCCTATAGCAAAAGTAAGTTTCTTGATTTTATTCTCCCAAAAGATGAAACCTAACTGGTCACTATGGGCAAGTTCTCCACTGTTGTCAAGGTTTTTAAAATATTTTTCTAGAAATTTGCCTTGACACTAATTAATTTCTTGTGCTGATCACTAGCAATCTAATTATGTTGTATAATAATTTTCCACAGCATTTCTATAGATTCTACAAGGTATCAGATCTGCAGTAAAATGTTAAACAACCTAGATCAGTATAAATGCTGATGTCTTCCACCAAAGACTTTCTTTGTTGCTCTGAGATGTTACTACATTATTTCATAATGTTCACATAATATATCATGTGAATAATCACTTCAATTAACAAATCATGCACAGATAAATAAACAGGAAATTTGCTTTGCACATGATTAAATAATTGAAGTGAATATTCACAGTTTATTGCATGAACATTCTTAACCCCTTCAGTAAACCATTCTTGTTATACAACCAAATGCAAAGGAAGTCAATGCTGGAAGAAAACAGTTGTGACATGCTTATCTTGTTAAAGGAAACTGAATTATTTGGATCATTGGCCATGTTGTCCAATGCGGCATCACATTTCTTTGCTGCACTTTCGTAGCTGATATAAATTATTTCTACAATGAAAAGGTCACTTTGTTGTGTTTGCTTCTCAGGCCAAAAGTTCCCAGTCCTCCACTAGTTTAAACTATGCATATGGTGAAAAATGCATGAGCAGTGAAAGCATGTCAAAGCAATCAGTAGACTCAAAGATACAGGCAGCTGTATATACTGTAGATGCACACATTTGACTCTTCATATAAAGACTGTGATTGTCTTTTCCACCTCCCCAGCCATCAATGTGTGTAGGCAGTCTGCCTGCATCAAAACAATTCTGTTACAGCATATAGATTTTAACAATAATGCTTACAAGGTTTCAAAAACAGAATATACCTACCATAATAAACACCAAAAACTAAAGCAGACCCAGTAATGGCACCCACAAACTGTGCACTCACATAGAAGGGGAGCTTGACCCATTCTAATCTTCCAGTTAAACACATGGCAAATGAAACTGCAGGATTAATGTGGCCCCCTAAAATGACAAGAAACATTGACAAGCATTGAATAGTATACATTTCAATATAGCCGTTTTGTTATTCATAAAAATACACACAAATATTTGCTTTTTGGCTTTATATTTTTATTCTTATGACCTTGTATTACCAGTTTTACCTTCAGCCGCAGGGCGCTAACGTCAACATTACACTAATTAGTTACCAAATTGCACAGATGTAAACTGTTGCTAATTAAGTTCTTATAGAGTTCTGCAGATTGTTCCTACTGCACATATAGTTGAGCGTGTTACTGTAAGATTAATTACACTTGCCTCCGGCTATTTGGTGGCAGCCTCAGTATTTAATAAGCTGTAAATCTGACCTGTAAGTAGCAATCATAATTTTGTAACAAATGAATCAGTGATCACTTGCTACGTACCGGTGTGTACAGAAATAAGAAGGATGCTAAATATTTTACTTTGTTTTTCAAGGGAACAGTTTGACTTAAGGTGCCCATACACCTTGGAATCATCAGACGAAGATTTCCGTCCGATGATCGAACCGTCGTACGATTTTCGTACAGCGGCACCCATCCTGCCCTGACCATCACACAGTTCAGTTAGCGGTCTTTAGCAGAAATCACCTGGACGAACTTCGTTAATGGACCGCACAGATTTTCGTTTGTTCATGAGCAGTGTTAATCGTACGATTTTGGACGTACAGAAACGCCACCAACCATGCAAAGATCGTACGATTCAACAGAAGTTTTCTAACCTGCTAGAAAGTTAAAAGTCGTACGATTGTACAGTATTTGCGGTTGTAGACTGCCCATCAACCTTACGAATATTGGACAAAAACGCGATTGCAAATCTCTTTGTTTGCAACTTCACAGAATTCCAAGGTTTTTTGTTTCTGATATACTGTTTCCTCCAAGCAAGCAAAATTGCAGATGACGTTACAATGGATTAAACTGCATTTGCAAGAGGAATATTAACACTTCATACAAAGTGAGAGGCAGAAGATTTTTATAATTGTTGTCCATATTGCACCTTATTCACCAAGGTTTACCAATTTATCAGCATGTAGGACCTTTATATATCACTGATACTTTGCCAAAATTAGTTTGAAAGGTAATACTTGGAACATTTTAATATTTCCTCAGTGGGGGCTTCTGCTTGTTTTAAGAAGCTTGTTTTAAGGAACTGTGTCATAAGAAGCATATCCAAAAGGAGCAGTGTTTCAAAGGAACGGGACTATAAGGGTTACTATCACTGATGGTAATATCCTTCTGAAAGATGGCAATCTCCTTCCTTCTCTAGTTGTCATGTTGACCCACTGACTTCGATGCTTCCTAGTCTCTGACCTGGAACAATTATGAAAACCAGGATGTCTGTGATTAATAAAGAATATAAGCCAGACACAGCCAGGCAACTAGCATCTTCAGAAGGAGATCAGCAATAACAGGAGTCCTTTTATATAATTATCCAATAAAAAAAGAGCAAAGAGTATCAAAGTTCAGTAACCTATGGAAGCCAATCAGAATTGATTTTACTGAAACAGCTGTAAGATGGCCTGCAATTGGTTGCTAGGAATAATTTTTTTTACATTGCTCCTTCTAGAGCTTTATTGAAGGAACATGCTTGTCGGTAAATTAGTAAAACACAGCACAGAAATTTCCCCTTGGGTTATAATGAATCTACTCTCACAACATTAATGTCATTGAAGAAATTCATGGAGTTGCTGTTCTCCGACCCTCAACTTCATATTAGTTACAAGGGAATAAAACACTTCTTTGGCAACACAGCTTATGATGGGATGGCCATGGAACTAGCATGCAGTCATTCTTTTTCAATATAGACCAATGATAATAACACTAAATAAGTACTACATTTGTATACATAAATGACTATGTAATAGACTATTTGTGAATTTTCCTAGAAGAAAACAATGATTTCTTGTTAACAGCAAGAAAACATTCCATGCAAACTTTAGAACTAGCTATGTAGAGTTATTTGTTATAAATAATGAGTCATTTATGCAAAGACAACAAGGGGGTAACTATAGTAACAGCAGCCCATGCGACTTTCATGAGGCCAGCAGTAAAACGGGCCAAGTATGCTGAGGAAAAACATTCCCTTAAGGCTCCTCTACTACTTGTTCTAGACTACACTAGCACTTGGCTAACAAGCAATATAATCTGGAAGAGTGACAGAACAGCCTTTACCAGTGGAGGCTCTGAAGGCCCTATAAATACTATCAATCTTTTTTTGGTTGGAATTGCGGTAATTGACCGCACCTATTTTCGTTTGCGCATGAGCAGTGTTAATCGTACGCCACCAACCTTGCGACAATCGTATGATCGACTGAAGTTTTCAAACATGCAGGAAAGACAAAAGTCGTACGATTGTACAGTACTGGCGGTTGCACATTCCCCATACACCTTACGATTGTCGTACGAAAAGTCTATCGCATACGATTATCGTACGATAATCGTAAGGTGTATGGGCACCTTAAGGCTTAGTATAAGTCTAATTGCAGAAGAAAAGGGAGAATTCTCTGCCACTTTTCTGGGGACCTTTAAAGTTAAACTCCTGTGTAAACCCAAATATTACTTTGTAAAGTAGCAGTGATATTATCAGTGTGGTGCACATAGTCTGTGCAGAGAGCAGAGCTATGGATGGGACTTAGCAGGTCCACCCATTATAGGCTGCCTACAGACAAGACCAATCAGCCTTCACAAGGAGAGAGAGTAACAGTGACCAGTCTTTATTACTGGAATCTCTTGCACGGAGACAAATTTGTCTGTTACCCATTATGTTATACTGTATGTTTATATACATAATATGCTTTTTGTTACACTTTCTTTATACAAACTACTGATTATTTATATTATGGAAGCTGTTCAACATACCACCCAAAACAGCAAACATAATAATAATAATCAGAATATATTCTTTGATTTCTTTCAACAATTTAAACACATGTAGTAACTCCATACATTTTAGCTTTAGAATTTAAGTAGTTTAATAGTATTGTAACTTTCGAGTTGTTAAAAGTGGCCTTGATGAGCTAATTTTGTGTCTGCTTGCTCTTAAGGTCATTTTTTCTTTCAACAAATAAACACAGATAATATAAAGCCTCCTCGTTCTGCTTAATATAGCCTGGCCAGCTGTAATTATTAAAGGGTGTTTATTAGAGAAAAGCGAGAAGAGCGATCTTGTAAAATTCAACCCCATTCTGCATCCAATTGCAGATTGCTCATAGGCAGTTTATTCATTTTTTTCTAATAATGTTTCTATTATTTTCTTTTCTATGCTGCATTTCAAAACGTTTTAGCCCTCGTTCACACCTGAACGTTTTGTAGCGCGTTCTACGCTCGACGAACGCTCTACAAAACGCTCAAACATCAAAATCCCATTGTTTTCAATGGGTCTGGTTCACACCTTGGCGTATTTCATCCCGTCCCTAACGCGCTACAAAACAGCCCACGCCTGAAAAGGTACATGTACTACTTTGGGTCGTTTTTGTTGCGCGTTTCCATTGGGATACAGCCAAGTAGCCCTCGGAAACGCGCGTTTGTCGCGCAATTTTTTTACCGCGAATTGCGGCAAAAAAAACGCGCATATGCAATACCAGGAACCAGGCATTAGAGTTTAATAAAGAAGCATCCACAAACAATAGCAACCTAGGGCATCAAATATAGGGGTAAGAATCCTAATGATTAGAGGACATTGAGTGCGCAGACCTCCCCTGTATTACATTTTTTATTTAATTACCAGATTAATGCTGCAAGAGATGGCCCATATAAAACGCTGACTTCATAGTTAAAGACACCCAACAGCTGTGATTCACCCTAGTCCATCATAGACCTTGAATACAGCAAAAAGATTTAGTCATCTTTTGGGGCTTAGTCATTAGTTGGTCAGTGATCTGTAGGCCCGCATTCACACCTGCGTGTGGCGTGAACGTGCGTCACATTCGCGCATATTTGTGCGCATTTATGTGCTGTGATTGCAGCACGTCCCAATTGGGTTTTCAAGAGTGCAAACAAGGAGGAAAAATTAGTTTGAGCTGAGTTTGGGGTGGTGATGTTAGAAATGAATGGCAACGCAAGTGTGTTGCACGTTTTATTGTGTTTTTGTGAACGCGTGCCAAACGCACACAAAAACATGCGCTTTGGCACACGTTCATAGAACGTGCAGGTGTGAATTGCGGGCTAATATCTTGCATAGGTAATGTGCATTGAATGCATTAGCTGATCACTTTTGTGGTGGATGACACCACACTTGAGGTGTACAGCGGTGTCCTCTCTCTATGCCAGCAGTTCTCAACCTCGCCCCCGTCGGGGGTCGAATGATGATTTGCCAGAGGTCGCCCAGCCACCGACTGCCGTGAGTCAGAAAAATAAAATGCATAGCTGGATTCCTATTGGCTATTTCACTGAGGACTACAAATCCCAGCAATACATTATATACTGTATGTATAATGCACTATTGCTAGCATTTGTTGTATTCCTTTATAGCTGGTGGTATACTGCATATAATCATTATACAGCACAATGCAGAATACCACCAGCTATAGAGGACTACAAATCCCAGCAATAATACATTATATACAGCGCAATACAGAATACCAGCAGCTACAGAGGACTTCAAATCCCAGCAATAGTACATTATAGTATAATGTGCTATTGCTGCTATTTGCTGTATTCCTCTATAGCTGGTGTTATTCTGTGTTGCGCCGTATAATCATTATACAGCGCACTGCAGACTACCAGCAGCTACAGAGGACTACAAATCCCAGCAATGATAAATTCTACAGCGCAATGCAGAATAACACCAGCTACAGAGGACTACAAATCCCAGCAATAGAACATTACAGTATAATGGACTATTGCTGCGATTTGTTGTATTCCTCTGGGATTTGTTGTCTCCTTTAAGGAGTGGTTCTCAACCTGTGGGTCGCTGTGTGATTTCTGCTGTGCTAGGTGAGAGTCCTCCTCAGCCCTCTCCTAGTGCAGCAGTGTCAGTTCTCCCGC